CTTTCGCTTTTTTCTTCTTTGAGGTTTTCGAACGCCTAAGGAAGCCTTTTCGTTTATTTGTATAAATAAATTTACTTCTATAAGGTAAGCACATTTCGCCTTCTCTCAAAGGACTTCCATTTGTGTGGCGATACAATAAAGGAAAAATTCGAAATTTAAGGTATTTTCGCGTAAGAGAATACGTTGTAGAAATGTTGAGTCCATCTTGTTTACGAATCCCCTGGGAGATTTGATCTGGGATTTTACGCAACTTACGGTTTCCAATCATTGCAAGCTATTTGCCGAAATCTATTCGGTTTGATTTTCTATGTAAATTGTATGGAAGGCGTTATCGAGATACCTGTGAAGCGTGGTGAGCTTTCGAATGCTGAGAAAACAAACGTTATTTTATGCGGATTTTTGTAGCTGAAAATGTGTGACTGAACGATATTGATGATATTATACGTCCATTTTACGAAACTTATTGTCCTATTTCATCACCTCAGGCGATAAAGATCGTAAGGGCCCGGCTTTATTAATAAAACGCACTAGGCGAAAATATTGCCGATTTATGGAACGTAAATATGAGGGTTGAAAATTTATCATGTTAGAGTATGACCTTTTTTAGTTTAGCTTTAGACCAAATTCCGTTTTATGTGTTTGTGTAATCTCGTCGTGTCAGCCTTCCTTTTCTATTTGCACTTGTTTCGTCGCTTACTACACTCGTCGATGCCATTCAATTAACCTTCTATTCCTAATTTTTTCCTGACCCTATCATTCAGTACTCGTAGCAATTCGATGTAGGTGTTTCTTTCACATTTTGCATTTTCCTTTTTGTACCGTTAACATCGTCTTGTGCGTGATCCCCTTTTCTCGCTTACTTCCTTCTAGCTTATGGAAGAATTACGTGATGCTGTGATTGTTTCTTCTTGCAATTAAGAATGAGAAAAATCAAAAATTACGTTTTCAATTCTGTTTATTTTGACAACAACTCAAAACAACTTTTTACTTACTATATTGTAATATAACTTGATTTTTAATCAAATTACGCTAACATAGCCGGCCGCATTAAACGATTCGTTTAATTATTCATCTTCATTAAGCAATGGACATAAATTACGTACTGCCCGCTTATATAATCCAGATTTTGTTTTAATAGTCGCTACTCTGATGATGTTATCATCACCGGGATGAACTTCAATAATTCGTCCAATTTTCCAGTGCGCAGGAGGTGTATTATTTTCTTTAATTAACACGATAGTCCCTGGTTTGACATTATCTTGTGCTATATTCCATTTTGTACGAATTTGGAGATCTCCAAGGTAGTCCCTTGACCAGCGATTCCAAAATTGTTGTTGTAGCTTTGATAAATACTGCCACCTGGATAATCTATTAGTGGGAATCTCCACGAAGTCAGTATTCGGTATGGCCGTAAGTCGACGACCAATAAGGAAATGAGAAGGAGTTAGTACTTGATAGTCATTAGGGGAAGAAGAAAGCGGGTAAAGAGGGCGCGAGTTAAGTAAACATTCTATTTCAACAATTACTGTTAAATACTCTTCATATGTAAGTAATGCATCGCCTAAAACCCGTTTTAGATGAAATTTAGTTGATTTTACGCCTGCTTCTGCTAGGCCGTTGAAATGTGGTGATGAAGCTGGGGAAAAATGCCACTTAATCCCTTCATAAATTAAAGACTTTTTAAATTGATCTGCATTTTTGTTAAGAAATTCAAACATAGTTTTTAAGTCATTATTTGCTCCTATAAAATTACTACCATTGTCACTGAATATGTTATGTGGTTTTCCTCTGCAAATCTTCTAAATGCAGCTAAAAATGCGTTAGTAGAGAGATCAGACACTAATTCGAGATGACAGGCCTTAGTAGAAAAACATACAAATATACAAATATATGCTTTCGTTATTTTGCATCCTCGTCCTTGTCTATCTTTTAATTTAATTGGACCACAATAATCAACCGCACAATTGGTAAATGGTGGTGACGGAGTGACTCTAAACTTTGGCAACTGTGCCATTATAGGAGCAAAAGAATTTGCTGCGTGTCTACGACAAATCACGCAATTTTTTATTACTGTTTTTGCAGTCATACGCGCAGACAATGGCCAAAATCTTTCTCTTATAATAGCAATGAGAGAATTAGGGCCGCAATGTAAATTCTTTGTGTGTTCATATTTAAACAAAAGTTTAGTAAAGTAATGTGATCGAGGGAGTATAATTGGATGTTTTTTCTCATATGCAAGTAAAGCTTTACTGAGTCGACCTGTAAGTTTTATCAAGCCATCATTATCGAGAAAAGGCGTTAATGAATTTAATTTACTACGCTTAGGACATTCCTTTCCCAATAAAAAGGCTTGGTACTCATTAGGAAAACTTTCTTGTTGAATTACCTTTACGATTTTATTAAGTGCATTATTGCGTTCAATTAATGAAAGATGCCAGTATTAATTTTAGAAGAATTACGACTATTATTGATAAATCTTAAAACCCAACACATTACTGATACTAGTTTATTAAAATTTGAAAATTTTGAAATTAAATTACTTATTTGGTTTTGAAATTGCACTATTGTTAATATTATAGGTTTTGGAGTTTTTAACTCAGGTAGGTCAATATTATTGTCATTGCATTCTGAAAAATACTCCGTGGTACTACATAACCTTTCTGGACCAAACCACCATAAACTATTAGATATTATTTCCTTTGGATATAAACCACGAGATATTAAATCCGCAGGATTATGGTTTGTTGATACATACTTCCACGAATGTGAATTAGTTAACTCCAATATTTTTTAAATACGATTCGCAACAAATGTTTTTAATATGTTAAGTGGAGTACTTATCCATCTTAAAACAACAGTAGAATCGGTCCATAAAATGCAATTATCAAATTGAATTCTAGACGATTTGAGTACTTTATTTACTAACTCTGAAAGTAATACTGCACCACAAAGCTCAAGTTTGGGTATTGTTAATTCTTTAACTGGGGCAACTATGGACTTTGCTGCAAGTAAATGAATTTGCACATTTCCAAATTTGTCTGCTGATCTTATATAACAACAACCACCGTATGCTAAACGACTAGCATCGCAAAAACCATGCAACTCATTTATAATTGAATTCGGTAACCTTGTACAGCGTGGTACTTTCAGATTATTTAATATTTGCAAATTCTCGTTGAATTCTTTCCATTGAATATATAATTCATGTGGTAAGGGTTCATCCCAAGATAATTTAAATTGCCACAAATTTCGCATAAAAATTTTTGTTTTACATATTACGGGTGCAATTAGTCCTAATGGATCAAAGAGTTAAGCGATGTATGATAATACATCTCTTTTCGTCAGTGTGTTTGGAATTAGGGTAGTATCAATTTTAAAACATAGTTGATCTTGGTAATGTAACCAAGGTAATCCAAGAGTTTTTAATATGTTACAAGAACTATCTGAAACTGTTTGATGTTCAATATTTTTAGCTTCCTAGCATGTGCTAGGTAGCTATTGCGATAGCCGTTTTTTGAACATTTCAAAATTTCATCAAATGTCGACGTTTTAGACCATTTTAAGCAACTTTTAAAGAATAAAATTTTTTTCCGTCTGTATGTACGTAGTAGTATAGGGGCCACCATGGGCACCCCCCACTCCTCCTCCTTTAAGCCCCGCCCCCCTGGCTTCCTATTGGTTGGCTTATACCCCGCCCATCTCCCACTCCTTTAATCTGATTGGCTCCCCGCCCTCGTTTGAGAATCCTCGATTCCTATTGGTTCCACCCCCTTCGTTCTCATTGGTCCTGACAAATCCTCGATTCCTATTGGTTCAACCCCCTTCTCCTTTCCTTCGTTCTCAATGGTCCTGACAAATCCTTGATTTCTATTGGATGGATTTCCCACCCGTTCTTCGACGCATCTACCTCCAGTCGCCGTTGCATGGTCTCTCTCGTCCACATGGTTATCGACGACTGTTTCTCAGTTCATATCCAGTCGTTGTGGGGGGGACATGCCACTTTTGGATCTTTCAGAAAAAACCCGTAGAGATCAAGGTTCGAACCTACTCCCCGCACGTACTACCGTCGTAGAGTATCGATATAGCATCTGCGCTACGAAGAACTAATGCAAAATATAGGTATCTCGTCGTTCCATATTCCTGCACTGTGCTGCTGTGGTTGATTAATCGTGGGTATGCTATATAAATTACGTTCTAATTATTTTTAGGCAATAAATGGATAAACAAAAATAAGGCAATCGTGAAATTCGTGTATGTTTTCTGAGGGGTGTTTGAAATCTGCACCGATTTTGAAAGTAATCTTTATTTTCGTTTAGACTTGCGTTGCATAACGTTAAATCACGTGATCACACACCTGCAATAAAATTTCAATTAGCGGAAGACCGTATCAGTATCCATTTGAACATTGAGGCAGTTAGTTCATATTTTTCTTGGTAAAGAAATCTTCGTACTTACGCCTAGTAAAAAATTACAGACCGATTAGAAGGTCTGCATTATGTCTTCCACCAATTTTGCAATTTTTAAAGCTCATTGCATAATCTGTATCATAGATCACGTGATAAATATCTAGGTAATGCATTCTTATAAAGTCAGTGCACCTGTGCAAAGTCGACAGTATAAAGAAGCACTTCGAAGTGTAAACGTACCTGTGAGCCGCACAGATTGAATTCTTTTCTGGCTTACCAATTCCATATTAAGTTGGTATTCTCGTGCATGCCAAAATCAGTTTTGCATTCGAATTCGAATCAGACTTAAGAAAAAATAGCTATCAGCGCGATAAGGTTTTTGTTTAAGTGTATCTAGGAGTAAGATTTCTGCACGATAATTATTACGCAAAGTAGGTTATTAATAACATTTTTTTCAATCGCATCATTGCGAGTAGGTAGCTAATTCTCGCCGCTATAAAAAGTACATCACTGGTGTGTTGTAACTAGGTAAGCACTTTCAGATTCACTCGGTAATTACCTATACCCCCATTCAAACTTTTTTTTTTGGTGACTATGGCCAAATACGAAATTGTTGGCGAATTTCAAAAGAACGTTAAAAGGTTCGCATTAAGGGGGCGTACAATAGAATTCAAAATCAAAGACGTTCCACCCAATGAAAACACAGTGTTGTGGATCAAAACAGCCATCAACCAAATAATCTCTTATATATGCACTGACGTTTCTCCTTCTGATATGATCGGGTTTAATTTTTGTTCTAAAAAGTTTTCGCGAGGGGGAGGGTACTTACGATTCCAGCCTGCCGAATCGGTATCTTTTGAAGATATTTGGGGATTAATTTCGAGCATTTATCAATCTAATTCAGCTGGTTTAAGTACGGAAACCTTCTGTTTGGAGGCTACAATTATCCGGGTGCCATCCGGCAAAGGTAGGATTAAGGCGGGTAACTACAACAATTTTGAGGAAGAATGTTCTGCTCGAAAGGGGATTATTTCCATTAAAAATACAGATAACTTATGTTTACCCAGAGCTCTTGTTGTTGCCATAGCTAAAGTCACGGGCGATTCTGGTTATGAGAACATAAGAAGAGATAGAGGTCATGTTCAGTTAAATAAGGCGAAACAGTTGATGCAGGAAGCTGAAGTATACATTGAGGCAAACGGTGGCGGAATACCCGAACTGAACAAATTCCAATCTTATTTTGGTAACAACTTTAAGATTGTGGTATATAATTTCGGTACTAAAGGGCGCGAAGTCATATTTGAAGGCAACTCAGACGCAAAGTTGACAATCAATCTATTATATTTTGAAAATCATTACAATGTTATTACTTCACTAACGTCGGCTTTTGTGTGCCGATATTATTGCGAACCTTGCCATATCCCCTATAACAATAAAGGGGGTCATATTTGTGCCAGTATTTGCATATCTTGTAAACGGTCCCCCGCATGTGATCGAGAGCTGATAATTAAATGCGCTGATTGCCGTAGGAATTTTGTCTCAAATTTATGTTTCAGTAACCATAAACTTCACTCGGGAAAAGAAGATAAATCGGTTTGTGAAAAATTTTTTAAATGTCGTACGTGCTACAAAATAGTTTTAGCCGGGCGAACTCACAGTTGTAATACAATTTATTGCAATATATGTCACCAAAACCGACCAAATAATCATCTTTGTTATATGCCCTTGGATTCCTCTTCACCAAAATTAACAGATTTCCTTTTTATTTTTTACGATTTAGAATGCACGCAAAACAAAACTGTATCTGATGGAAAATCTTTGCATGAACCAAATTTATGTGTTTTCAATCAGAGGTGCGAAGTATGCATCGATTATCCAATCGAGAAAGTTGTTTGCAGAAAGTGTGGTGTACGTCAACAGGTATTAAATATGAGCAGCATAATTGAGACGTTTTTTCAACATATTTTAGAGATAAGAAAGAAGTTCAAACATGTAATAGTTTTGGCACACAATGGACAGGCTTACGACCATCAATTTATTTTGAATTATATTTTAACCAAAACTCAGTTCAAACCAGAATTAATTATGAGAGGTTCAAAAATAATTTCCCTGAGTATGAATAATGTGAAACTGTTAGACTCTTTGAACTATTTTCCCATGTCCCTCGCCAAGTTACCAAAAGCGTTCGGTTTAACAGACGATTTTCGAAAAGGATTTTTTCCGCATCACTTTAATACACCCGAAAATCAAAATTATGTAGGACCGTATCCCGATATGAAGTATTATAATCCAGATGCTATGAAGACCGACGAAAGAGATAAATTTATTAGTTGGTACACCGAAAATAAAGACAACATCTTTGATATGCAAAAGGAAATTGTCTCTTATTGCATATCCGATGTAAATATATTAACGCTCGCCTGCCTGAAATTTCGAGAATTATTAATTAAATCCGGAAATGTGTGTCCGTATACAGAGGCATGTACGATTGCCAGCGCATGTAATAAACTGTTTCGTCGTAACTTTTTGAAAACAGACACGATCGGTTTGATTCCTAGACAGGGATATCGATACCGCGATAATCAATCAAAAGTAGCAATTCACTGGTTAATATGGGAGGAAAAGGTGCGAGGAATAGACATCGTGCACGCTGCCAAACAGAAAGAAATCGTCATCGGTGGTTTGCCTGTTGATGGGTATTGTCCACAAACAAATCAGGTATTTGAAATGATGGGGTGCTTTTATCATGGGTGTGTAAAATGTTTTAAAAATGATCGCGACAAACCTATACACAGTAACTCGTACGAAACGATGGATTTAAGATACGAAAATACCTTGTCAAAAATCAATCACCTTAATCAACTAGGTTACGAGGTAATAGTAAAATGGGAATGTGAATTTAAACAAGATACAAACCCCAACATAAATAAGTATGTGTCTGAACACCCATTGGTACATTTTGCTCCATTAAACGCGCGAGACAGTTTTTACGGCGGTCGAACCGGTAACATAAAGTCCTACTATAAAGTAAAAGACGGAGAAAAGATCAATTACATCGATATCTGTTCATTGTATCCCTACATTTGCAAAGTAGGCAAATTTCCTATTGCCCATCCTCAGGTCTTAGTAGGGAGCGACTGTGCCAATCTCGACGTCACAAAAGTCGATGGACTTATTAAATGCAAGGTACTGCCTCCACAAAATTTATTTCATCCCGTTCTTCCAATAAAGTTAAATAATAAATTAATGTTCCCTCTGTGTTATTCCTGTGCTAAAAATTTTACGCAGGAGGATTGTTCCCACGAAATAGGCGATAGAGCCATTGTGGGAACATGGGTGGCCGACGAAATTGTCAAATCTATAGAAAAGGGTTATAGGATTATGGAGGTATACGAAGTTTGGAGTTATAAAACGGAGCAGTATGATGGCAAGTCAGGTGGTTTATTTACTGAAATGATGAATAAATTTATTAAAATCAAACAAGAAGCGAGCGGGTGGCCATCTAACTGCAAAACTGACAAAGAAAAACGAGCCTATATTGCACGATTTTATGAAAAAGAAGGTATATTATTGGAGTTTGATAAAATTGAATTGAACCCAGGTCTACGTTCGTTAGCAAAATTAATCTTAAATTCATTTTTCGGAAAATTCGGTCAACGAGAGAACCAACCTAAAACCAAAATTATTAACCAACCGGTGGAATTGTATGCACTTCTGTTCGATCCTACAATTGATGTTGTAGGCATCTTACCAATAAACGAAGACACTTTAGTGGTAAACTATCAGCATAAAGAGGAATCATACACCCTTTTAAGTACAGTTAATGTATCCATTGCAGCATACGTCACAGCACAAGCTCGTTTGAAGTTATATTCATACATGGAACGATTGGGTGATCGTGTTTTATACTTTGATACGGACAGTATAATTTATATATCGCGAGAAGGAGAATACGAGCCCCAAACGGGCGAATTTATTGGGGACATGACAAACGAGCTTGATTGCTATGGCGCAGGTAGCTATATTACGGAATTTGCCTCTGGAGGGCCAAAAAATTATGGTTTTGTTGTATATTCCCCAACACAGGATAAGTACTTTCAATCCTGCAAGGTTAAGGGTATATGCATCAATCACGAGACATCAAAGCTTGTTAACTTCAACACCATGAAAAATTTGATAATCAATGAAGAGATTCCGAAAAAAATATTGTACACTACGTTTGAGAGGACCGCACAGCATCAGGTGTTAACCAGCCAAAAAGAGAAAATATTTCGAGCAAATTTATTGAAGAGACGTTTCAGCGGTTACGATTCATACCCGTACGGATACAAGAAGATAAAGCAGTGCTGACATAGTGTCTTTGTCGACATCATTAATATGGCGTGATGAGTTTCGTACTAACCCCAACAGCCATAATTTGGATTTGTTTAGTTGGTTGTCGATTTATTTCCCTATTCGGGCATACTGTGTAGTTTTTTTAGAAAATTTATTCATCGTGCATTTAACAGGTGTATTAGATTTCACTATGCAGAGTTATAAAAAATAGCATATTTCTACGACCATTTACATATAGTTTTCTTTAAAATAGGCAGATGATAAGACATTAAAAAACTAGTAATTTTACAATTGTAATATTTCAATTTGTATATATCTATGTATTATATAATATATGAATCTCAATAAATACTATTATCAAAAGCAATGTATCATTTCTCAAACACAATTCATATATCAAATGAAGTGGCACACAATGGCCATTACCATTTGGAAATTACTATACAGGATTTTGTCGGATCGTCCATTCCGAGACTGCTACGACGTTAGTTAGATAGGTAGGTATGTGTTTAAATGCCGAAATGAAGCCAAATAAAGAAATTATTACATCCATAAGCCAAGGTACGCTATGCAATTCGTCAGACTGTTAAATTTTGTCCGCTTTGCGATATAGCAGAGAGAGATTAGGCATAACAAAATGAAAACGTTGCAGTATCAGTGTTGGAAGCAAATATACAGACAGTTGTTTACGAGAAACGCATCAAATTGTGTTCCAGAAAAAACAGATGCCTTTCATCGCTACCTTCCATGAGATCTTTCCTCAAAGTGGTGATCTAAAATACTCGCAATCAATCACTTTCACGCGCGGTGGCATATTAGTCCAGACGACGTCACCTTCACTAAAACTCAGCGGCGCGAGTTACGAATTCCTTACGAATTTCTCCATGAATTACCAGTGTAGGTCAGCATAACTGGCATTACTTATACACTTCTGCACAATGAAACATACGACTAAATAAAAAACTGGTACCTACATTGATTTTTGACAATCTTATCAACTTGGTGATAATAAAAAAACAGTTTTGTCCGAGCAATAGTTTTTATCCATTTACCATAAAAAATATCAGTTTAGCGCTTTACTAATCTTATAAGAAATAACACTGCTAAAACCTATGAACGGCCGAATACTAAAAAAGCATGTTTGTGTAAATACTGAGTTTTGTATGACACTAAAGTTTCGCAATTATCGAAGGAGACTCAGAAGATGAAAAATCACAAGAGCTCATTCGTTAAAAGTAGGTACATGGCTCTCCTGGTGATACATGTAAACTGATCTGTATACAAATGCTACGTAGAGGAGTTGATGGATCTCGAGCATAATTGCCTGTCATATGGTTTACGCATGAGAGAAACTATGGTTCCCCTACTATGTTCACTTAAGATCATCCCTTATGGGATCATTGACAGTAGAATAGTTCTTTCAAACATACCCGTTTTCGTAGATTCCTGCTACGATTAATTGTTTCGATTATGTGCAACGTTATAGGTATGTCTCCACTTGAAATAGTTTTTGAGCAATAGTATTTAATGGATCTTAATAATAATTTTAAATAACAATTTGTTATTGTCCTCAACAGAACAGTAATCTCATGTTATTTCTTATGGGGAAATGGGGTTCATTTTAGTCATTTTTTGTAACACTGGCACACGCGCAGTAGGTCGCTGAATGATGTGCAAATTAGTTTGGCGCATGCTGGTGGTCACGTGACGTGGTACTTTGGTCCGAGGTGCTCCCTCATATTTTGGCAACGCAAACGCCAACCGAACGCGAACATAAACCATAACGCGAACGTGAACCCAACGTGGACGTGAACGCGAACTTGAACCCAACGTGAACGTAATTGGAACAGGTATCAGCTAACAGGTTCTTTATTAGCGGTTATAAACTGTTAAAGCTGTTAAGCTGTTACACTGTTAAGCTGTTACGCTGTTAAGCTGTTAAAGCTATTAAGGTGTTAAGATGTTAAAGCTTTATACAAGTAAACAGATAAACGGGCAAACAGTATTAAGGATCATTAAATGTGCCTAATATAAATCAGTAACTTCGATGCGATGCGTAGGTAAAAGCATAGTGTAGTCTAAAATAAATGCACATGCACTTGTATACATACAGTGAGTTTTTTTTTAAATGCGTTGGAACAGGTATCAGCTAACAGGTTCTTTATTAGCGGTTATAATCTGTTAAAGCTGTTACACTGCTAAGCTGTTACGCTGTTAAAGCTGTTAAGCTGTTAAAGCTGTTAAGCTGTTAAAGCTATTAAGCTGTTAAGATGTTAAAGCTTTATACAAGTAAACAGATAAACGGGTAAACAGTATTAAGGATCATCAAATGCGCCTAATATAAATCAGTAACTTCGATGCGATGCGTAGGTAAAAGTCTAAAATAAATGCAATGCAAATGCACTTGTATTACATACAGTGAGTTTTTTAAAAAATGAGAATATACGCTTTTGTATGCAATGTAATTTCCCTATGTTAGTTTTTTTTAAAAAACGCATCAATCTATAAGGTGTGCGCGGTTCATATTCCCACCAGAAAAACGCGCAACTTGTGTGACTATGAACAGCAACGGTTTCTATAGCCTCCATGATGAAGGGCACTCGGAAAGAATTTTTTAAAGAAGGCATGTGGGGGCCATAGCAACTTGAGGATAAAAAACTTACGATAACTTGACCTCACAGGGCACTCGCTGACACCAGAATTCATTGTGAACCAACCATCAATTATTTGTAGGTCATGTGCATCTGGTATTCTACTAATTTGATCTATTCAATACATAAATGAAGAAAATAAGTAAAAAATAGCGAAAACAACTACAATAAATGTTCAAAGTGTCCTCTTTGACATTCTAAGCAATCACCTAACCGATTTCGAAATTAAATTCGACGGCGGTATTTTTAAAATAGTGACAGCTGTCAATTTTATCTACTACTCATTTGAACTACTCAATAGATTGATGTGTTTTTTTTAATCGAACATAGGGAGATTACATTGCATGTAAACTCCTATGTTCGCATTTAAAATAAATTCACTGTATATCCGTCACTTACGGCGCACAAGATGCTACTAAAAGGAATCATATTGCAAATGATAGTGAGATTCAAGTAGTTTTCTTCGAACCAAATTATAGAGAACCACACCAAAAACTAAGGTAAGCTCCTTCCTAGGCTAGACGAAATCCGAATCCACAAAAAAATAAGCTACCAAAATTTCGTAACAGTTTTAACAGCTTAAAACCGCTAATAAAGAACCTGTTAGCTGATACCTGTTCCAATTACGTTCACGTTGGGTTCAAGTTCGCGTTCACGTCCACGTTGGGGTCACGTTCGCGTTATGGTTTATGTTCGCGTTCGGTTGGCGTTTGCGTTGCCAAAATATGAGGGAGCACCTCGGACCAAAGTACTGCGCGTGTGCCAGTGTTACAAAAAATGACTAAAATGAACCCCATTTCCCCATAAGAAATAACATGAGATTACTGTTCTGTTGAGGACAATAACAAATTGTTATTTAAAATTATTATTAAGATCCATTAAATACTATTGCTCAAAAACTATTTCAAGTGGAGACATACCTATAACGTTGCACATAATCGAAACAATTAATCGTAGCAGGAATCTACGAAAACGGGTATGTTTGAAAGAACTATTCTACTGTCAATGATCCCATAAGGGATGATCTTAAGTGAACATAGTAGGGGAACCATAGTTTCTCTCATGCGTAAACCATATGACAGGCAATTATGCTCGAGATCCATCAACTCCTCTACGTAGCATTTGTATACAGATCAGTTTACATGTATCACCAGGAGAGCCATGTACCTACTTTTAACGAATGAGCTCTTGTGATTTTTCATCTTCTGAGTCTCCTTCGATAATTGCGAAACTTTAGTGTCATACAAAACTCAGTATTTACACAAACATGCTTTTTTAGTATTCGGCCGTTCATAGGTTTTAGCAGTGTTATTTCTTATAAGATTAGTAAAGCGCTAAACTGATATTTTTTATGGTAAATGGATAAAAACTATTGCTCGGACAAAACTGTTTTTTTATTATCACCAAGTTGATAAGATTGTCAAAAATCAATGTAGGTACCAGTTTTTTATTTAGTCGTATGTTTCATTGTGCAGAAGTGTATAAGTAATGCCAGTTATGCTGACCTACACTGGTAATTCATGGAGAAATTCGTAAGGAATTCGTAACTCGCGCCGCTGAGTTTTAGTGAAGGTGACGTCGTCTGGACTAATATGCCACCGCGCGTGAAAGTGATTGATTGCGAGTATTTTAGATCACCACTTTGAGGAAAGATCTCATGGAAGGTAGCGATGAAAGGCATCTGTTTTTTCTGGAACACAATTTGATGCGTTTCTCGTAAACAACTGTCTGTATATTTGCTTCCAACACTGATACTGCAACGTTTTCATTTTGTTATGCCTAATCTCTCTCTGCTATATCGCAAAGCGGACAAAATTTAACAGTCTGACGAATTGCATAGCGTACCTTGGCTTATGGATGTAATAATTTCTTTATTTGGCTTCATTTCGGCATTTAAACACATACCTACCTATCTAACTAACGTCGTAGCAGTCTCGGAATGGACGATCCGACAAAATCCTGTATAGTAATTTCCAAATGGTAATGGCCATTGTGTGCCACTTCATTTGATATATGAATTGTGTTTGAGAAATGATACATTGCTTTTGATAATAGTATTTATTGAGATTCATATATTATATAATACATAGATATATACAAATTGAAATATTACAATTGTAAAATTACTAGTTTTTTAATGTCTTATCATCTGCCTATTTTAAAGAAAACTATATGTAAATGGTCGTAGAAATATGCTATTTTTTATAACTCTGCATAGTGAAATCTAATACACCTGTTAAATGCACGATGAATAAATTTTCTAAAAAAACTACACAGTATGCCCGAATAGGGAAATAAATCGACAACCAACTAAACAAATCCAAATTATGGCTGTTGGGGTTAGTACGAAACTCATCACGCCATATTAATGATGTCGACAAAGACACTATGTCAGCACTGCTTTATCTTCTTGTATCCGTACGGGTATGAATCGTAACCGCTGAAACGTCTCTTCAATAAATTTGCTCGAAATATTTTCTCTTTTTGGCTGGTTAACACCTGATGCTGTGCGGTCCTCTCAAACGTAGTGTACAATATTTTTTTCGGAATCTCTTCATTGATTATCAAATTTTTCATGGTGTTGAAGTTAACAAGCTTTGATGTCTCGTGATTGATGCATATACCCTTAACCTTGCAGGATTGAAAGTACTTATCCTGTGTTGGGGAATATACAACAAAACCATAATTTTTTGGCCCTCCAGAGGCAAATTCCGTAATATAGCTACCTGCGCCATAGCAATCAAGCTCGTTTGTCATGTCCCCAATAAATTCGCCCGTTTGGGGCTCGTATTCTCCTTCTCGCGATATATAAATTATACTGTCCGTATCAAAGTATAAAACACGATCACCCAATCGTTCCATGTATGAATATAACTTCAAACGAGCTTGTGCTGTGACGTATGCTGCAATGGATACATTAACTGTACTTAAAAGGGTGTATGATTCCTCTTTATGCTGATAGTTTACCACTAAAGTGTCTTCGTTTATTGGTAAGATGCCTACAACATCAATTGTAGGATCGAACAGAAGTGCATACAATTCCACCGGTTGGTTAATAATTTTGGTTTTAGGTTGGTTCTCTCGTTGACCGAATTTTCCGAAAAATGAATTTAAGATTAATTTTGCTAACGAACGTAGACCTGGGTTCAATTCAATTTTATCAAACTCCAATAATATACCTTCTTTTTCATAAAATCGTGCAATATAGGCTCGTTTTTCTTTGTCAGTTTTGCAGTTAGATGGCCACCCGCTCGCTTCTTGTTTGATTTTAATAAATTTATTCATCATTTCAGTAAATAAACCACCTGACTTGCCATCATACTGCTCCGTTTTATAACTCCAAACTTCGTATACCTCCATAATCCTATAACCCTTTTCTATAGATTTGACAATTTCGTCGGCCACCCATGTTCCCACAATGGCTCTATCGCCTATTTCGTGGGAACAATCCTCCTGCGTAAAATTTTTAGCACAGGAATAACACAGAGGGAACATTAATTTATTATTTAACTTTATTGGAAGAACGGGATGAAATAAATTTTGTGGAGGCAGTACCTTGCATTTAATAAGTCCATCGACTTTTGTGACGTCGAGATTGGCACAGTCGCTCCCTACTAAGACCTGAGGATGGGCAATAGGAAATTTGCCTACTTTGCAAATGTAGGGATACAATGAACAGATATCGATGTAATTGATCTTTTCTCCGTCTTTTACTTTATAGTAGGACTTTATGTTACCGGTTCGACCGCCGTAAAAACTGTCTCGCGCGTTTAATGGAGCAAAATGTACCAATGGGTGTTCAGACACATACTTATTTATGTTGGGGTTTGTATCTTGTTTAAATTCACATTCCCATTTTACTATTACCTCGTAACCTAGTTGATTAAGGTGATTGATTTTTGACAAGGTATTTTCGTATCTTAAATCCATCGTTTCGTACGAGTTACTGTGTATAGGTTTGTCGCGATCATTTTTAAAACATTTTACACACCCATGATAAAAGCACCCCATCATTTCAAATACCTGATTTGTTTGTGGACAATACCCATCAACAGGCAAACCACCGATGACGATTTCTTTCTGTTTGGCAGCGTGCACGATGTCTATTCCTCGCACCTTTTCCTCCCATATTAACCAGTGAATTGCTACTTTTGATTGATTATCGCGGTATCGATATCCCTGTCTAGGAATCAAACCGATCGTGTCTGTTTTCAAAAAGTTACGACGAAACAGTTTATTACATGCGCTGGCAATCGTACATGCCTCTGTATACGGACACACATTTCCGGATTTAATTAATAATTCTCGAAATTTCAGGCAGGCGAGCGTTAATATATTTACATCGGATATGCAATAAGAGACAATTTCCTTTTGCATATCAAAGATGTTGTCTTTATTTTCGGTGTACCAACTAATAAATTTATCTCTTTCGTCGGTGTTCATAGCATCTGGATTATAATACTTCATATCGGGATACGGTCCTACATAATTTTGATTTTCGGGTGTATTAAAGTGATGCGGAAAAAATCCTTTTCGAAAATCGTCTGTTAAACCGAACGCTTTTGGTAACTTGGCGAGGGACATGGGAAAATAGTTCAAAGAGTCTAACAGTTTCACATTATTGATACTCAGGGAAATTATTTTTGAACCTCTCATAATTAATTCTGGTTTGAACTGAGTTTTGGTTAAAATATAATTCAAAATAAATTGATGGTCGTAAGCCTGTCCATTGTGTGCCAAAACTATTACATGTTTGAACTTCTTTCTTATCTCTAAAATATGTTGAAAAAACGTCTCAATTATGCTGCTCATATTTAATACCTGTTGACGTACACCACACTTTCTGCAAACAACTTTCTCGATTGGATAATCGATGCATACTTCGCACCTCTGATTGAAAACACATAAATTTGGTTCATGCAAAGATTTTCCATCAGATACAGTTTTGTTTTGCGTGCATTCTAAATCGTAAAAAATAAAAAGGAAATCTGTTAATTTTGGTGAAGAGGAATCCAAGGGCATATAACAAAGATGATTATTTGGTCGGTTTTGGTGACATATATTGCAATAAATTGTATTACAACTGTGAGTTCGCCCGGCTAAAACTATTTTGTAGCACGTACGACATTTAAAAAATTTTTCACAAACCGATTTATCTTCTTTTCCCGAGTGAAGTTTATGGTTACTGAAACATAAATTTGAGACAAAATTCCTACGGCAATCAGCGCATTTAATTATCAGCTCTCGATCACATGCGGGGGACCGTTTACAAGATATGCAAATACTGGCACAAATATGACCCCCTTTATTGTTATAGGGGATATGGCAAGGTTCGCAATAATATCGGCACACAAAAGCCGACGTTAGTGAAGTAATAACATTGTAATGATTTTCAAAATATAATAGATTGATTGTCAACTTTGCGTCTGAGTTGCCTTCAAATATGACTTCGCGCCCTTTAGTACCGAAATTATATACCACAATCTTAAAGTTGTTACCAAAATAAGATTGGAATTTGTTCAGTTCGGGTATTCCGCCACCGTTTGCCTCAATGTATACTTCAGCTTCCTGCATCAACTGTTTCGCCTTATTTAACTGAACATGACCTCTATCTCTTCTTATGTTCTCATAACCAGAATCGCCCGTGACTTTAGCTATGGCAACAACAAGAGCTCTGGGTAAACATAAGTTATCTGTATTTTTAATGGAAATAATCCCCTTTCGAGCAGAACATTCTTCCTCAAAATTGTTGTAGTTACCCGCCTTAATCCTACCTTTGCCGGATGGCACCCGGATAATTGTAGCCTCCAAACAGAAGGTTTCCGTACTTAAACCAGCTGAATTAGATTGATAAATGCTCGAAATTAATCCCCAAATATCTTCAAAAGATACCGATTCGGCAGGCTGGAATCGTAAGTACCCTCCCCCTCGCGAAAACTTTTTAGAACAAAAATTAAACCCGATCATATCAGAAGGAGAAACGTCAGTGCATATATAAGAGATTATTTGGTTGATGGCTGTTTTGATCCACAACACTGTGTTTTCATTGGGTGGAACGTCTTTGATTTTGAATTCTATTGTACGCCCCCTTAATGCGAACCTTTTAACGTTCTTTTGAAATTCGCCAACAATTTCGTATTTGGCCATAGTCACCAAAAAAAAAAGTTTGAATGGGGGTATAGGTAATTACCGAGTGAATCTGAAAGTGCTTACCTAGTTACAACACACCAGTGATGTACTTTTTATAGCGGCGAGAATTAGCTACCTACTCGCAATGATGCGATTGAAAAAAATGTTATTAATAACCTACTTTGCGTAATAATTATCGTGCAGAAATCTTACTCCTAGATACACTTAAACAAAAACCTTATCGCGCTGATAGCTATTTTTTCTTAAGTCTGATTCGAATTCGAATGCAAAACTGATTTTGGCATGCACGAGAATACCAACTTAATATGGAATTGGTAAGCCAGAAAAGAATTCAATCTGTGCGGCTCACAGGTACGTTTACACTTCGAAGTGCTTCTTTATACTGTCGACTTTGCACAGGTGCACTGACTTTATAAGAATGCATTACCTAGATATTTATCACGTGATCTATGATACAGATTATGCAATGAGCTTTAAAAATTGCAAAATTGGTGGAAGACATAATGCAGACCTTCTAATCGGTCTGTAATTTTTTACTAGGCGTAAGTACGAAGATTTCTTTACCAAGAAAAATATGAACTAACTGCCTCAATGTTCAAATGGATACTGATACGGTCTTCCGCTAATTGAAATTTTATTGCAGGTGTGTGATCACGTGATTTAACGTTATGCAACGCAAGTCTAAACGAAAATAAAGATTACTTTCAAAATCGGTGCAGATTTCAAACACCCCTCAGAAAACATACACGAATTTCACGATTGCCTTATTTTTGTTTATCCATTTATTGCCTAAAAATAATTAGAACGTAATTTATATAGCATACCCACGATTAATCAACCACAGCAGCACAGTGCAGGAATATGGAACGACGAGATACCTATATTTTGCATTAGTTCTTCGTAGCGCAGATGCTATATCGATACTCTACGACGGTAGTACGTGCGGGGAGTAGGTTCGAACCTTGATCTCTACGGGTTTTTTCTGAAAGATCCAAAAGTGGCATGTCCCCCCCACAACGACTGGATATGAACTGAGAAACAGTCGTCGATAACCATGTGGACGAGAGAGACCATGCAACGGCGACTGGAGGTAGATGCGTCGAAGAACGGGTGGGAGATCCATCCAATAGAAATCAAGGATCTGTCAGGACCAATGAGAACGAAGGAAAGGAGAAGGGGGTTGAACCAATAGGAATCGAGGATTTGTCAGGACCAATGAGAACGAAGGGGGGGTGGAACCAATAGGAATCGAGGATTCTCAAACGAGGGCGGGGAGCCAATCAGATTAAAGGAGTGGGAGATGGGCGGGGTATAAGCCAACCAATAGGAAGCCAGGGGGGCGGGGCTTAAAGGAGGAGGAGTGGGGGGTGCCCATGGTGGCCCCTATACTACT